ATGTCATTTTTAGAGAAATATATTGGTTTGTTAGTTTTCCTCTTTTTGTATTGCCCCTGTATAAGGTACTTTGTTCATATTCAAAGTATACTTACTTGTATACTTATATGTATTCGGAGTGGAGTTCTCATGAACACGCAAGTGGTATTTTACAACATAAAATTAGAGTAAAACGATCTAGAGTTGGGTTATTATCTCTCCTTCAGTCAGTCCTCTTTCCACCACATGCACTTCATGCGATCCGCCACTAGCCCACCACATGTTCGTTCTCTAAGCACATCATTGGTGCTCCATGCTCATCCAAACCGACTTGTCTACTCCACTGCTGCCAATCCTCATCCTCCTGAATACACCCATTACACAACTATTGGGTGTTCAACAAGTAGTGCCTACCTGGCCTCGATCTCTTTTTACCAGTTATGCTCTACATTAGGTTAGATCTGCATCTAGTTGGAAGGGGCATGGGATCGGAAGGCCAATTGCCTAGGCTACAATATCAGAGGTAGCACGAGCAACAAGAAGAACGGTGCCAGTGACACTAGTGTGGGAGGGGGAGATGTGAGAAGTGGAGATGGAAGTAGCTGGGCTTGGACTATAGGAGGTGGGGGCATAGATTGGCTTGGCCTACTTTACATGTCATTTTGTTGACTTGGTAGGTGATACAAGTCTGTTCCAGTCAAAATCAGACCATGTTAGTAGAATAGGGTTTAAAAACCAGCTGTAGGATTATTTATGGCGGTGTGGACATGGACCGCTAAGGGAGAGTAAATTGAGTCATGGTTTTGCTGTGTTGGCCTACTGATAGAGGGCGCTAGAATGCCCTTATTTCACATACTTCGTGTCTTTGTCCATTTCAACTTGTAAGTCATTTTACTTTTGTCATAAGTCAAACTTTTTGTAACTTTGACTAAGTTTATATTCACATATACAATTTCAAATAAACACACTATCAAAATACATTTCATGGTGTTATAATGAATCTTGTTTAATGTTGTAGATATATGTGCGTTTCTCTATAAATTTGGTTAAAGTTAGAGAAATTTGACGTAGGATAAAGCTAAAATAACTTACAATTTGGAATGGATTATTTTGGTATAGTAGCATATTTCTCCAAGTAATTATAGTTACTTTATATGTTACAAAAGAAAAGGGTTTCAACTTTCATTAGTTTATAGTAAAAAAAAGATCATACCGGGAAAAGGAACATTATAATCTGTATAAAAAACAGCTTCCCAACTATAAAAGACATATCAGGAGCTTTAATAGGGTGACCATCTCTAGGCATGTCTTTAACAAACCCAAATCGCATCTTAGTATCGTTACCCCTCAACTGAAGGTATGCATTTGAGGCCTGCACAATATCTAGAAACTCCGTAAGACGACAAAATGATAAACAAAAAAAGGCAATGCACTAACTGATGTTTGGACTTCGGATTATTTTTGACGGCATGTACAAATGACCTACTAAGGCTTTGTTTGGATGTAGTCGGTTTCACCTTAATACACGTGTCTCAATCCACCCCAGCACATGTGGATTGATGTGAATCCGACTACATCCAAACAAGGTCTAAAGGGTTTGGGAAACAGTAGTATTATTTTGTAGTAGGGGATGTATAATGAACATTACCAGATTCATTAAGCGCGCAACCCGAAGCATGTTTGATTTTTCAGGATTGTATTGGACAATCATGTTATAGTGCTTGAGGTCTGAGCTTGTGAGATCATATGCTGTAAACAGAAGAATATATGTTATGTAGCCAATTAGAGTCTAGAGATATCAATTACAAGCAGAAAAGGAATAGATAGTGGGATGGTAAAACCTGAAACAATGTCGTTATTGTTCTCTATCCTTTCCGTGGTCTTGCTTTCCCTGAAGCCTTTATACAATTCATTGTTCATGACTACTGAATTCTCTCGCCATTCAAACAATGCTTGAGTACATCTTGCTTCTGTTCAGTTTTTTCAGTTAACAATAGCAGTTAGGGTCGATCTAATAATAATTTCACCAGGTCTTTCCAAAGTCTAATTTGTATCTTATAGGAGTATTCTTATTAGCTTACTATTATAAACAATTATGTGTAACACAATGAGATGTGCAGGTCATTTATGAAACAAAAAGAAATCGTTTCTTTACATGTGGAGCAAATAAATCATGCATGACAAATAGTAATCATGCTTGGATGAAAAATCATGCATGACAAAGAACCGGAGGACATATTCTAACCCACGCAGTAATTATGCCATCCACCAAACAAGCCAAACTTGTATAATTAACATCTCTCGGGTCGCATTACTCAAGATAATATAATAGAAATTACAAAGTATTACTCCCTCCTTTAACCTAAATGTCCTAGTCATATATTTAATTAAAAAAGGATGTAGTAATATATATTTTGTAATTTCTGTTGTGTACCATCTTAAGCATATGTAGGACATGCTAATTGATTCAATAAACTAATTAGCACTATTGATTTGAGCTATCGGTTCCCATAGTGCTTATAATTTTTATTTTCATAAAAAGTTTACACAAATAGTTGAAAATTAAAATACTTAAGTTATTATTTGCTTTCTCTAGCTACGTATATAGCCCAGTAACATATCTCACCTTTATTGTCCATTTTTGGACCGTGCTGGACCAGGAAAGAAAGTGTTGATTTTGGAGTGCATTTGCTCTGAAGAAAATAAAGGGCCGCCGTATCAAAGGCGGCTTCATAAGTATTAGTGCCAAAACCTGTTCCATCAATTGCCTGCAAAAGTTCCATCAGAAGTTTTGTCAGTAATTAGGATGGCGTTTGCTTTAAGCGTGAGACACTCTCACTAGTCGTCGTTCTTAATTATTCCTCTAGATTCGGAGAGACACCCGTCCCCATAAATTGATGATATGCACTAGTCCCTCCTGATGTCTTTTTCTTTCATCTGTGTATCCTCATCTTCCTCCTTGGCATTCCAACGGCCGAGCTCGGCAACGGGTGCGGGCTAGCGGCCTTAGTCTCATCTCTAGCATGGGCAGGTGACCCAACGAGCTTGGCCCCGACGCAAGCTCTGCCCCACCACAGTTAGGAGGGTTTTGGGGCGCTAAGGCGGGGCGGTGGTAGAGATGACAGTGGATGGATGGCAACGATATAGATGGGGCAGGGATAGAGGCCGAAGGTATGGAAGAGGATGAAGAAGGTGAAAGATGATGAAATCCAGACCTCACTCGATGGTTGTTTAACGTATGAAAAATAGTGATGTATTCTCCTATTCCTATCTGAATAATCACGTCCACTCAACTAGACATACATCCCCTCAACTAAACCTTCGATAGACCATCCGTCCATCCCATTTGAGAAAACTTTTCCCCAATCTAAACATAACCTAGACTGACAGAACTGTCGAGAACCACACAATGACACAATTAATGCACAATTAATACAGAATGGGAATCCAATGCAACGAACCAGCGCATAATCAGCCAAGCCGGAAATGTCAGTCGTCAAGTTCGGCGAGGCGTGTGGCGGGAACATGTTGCCCGTGAGACCTGCAAGACGAGATCAAAGAGGTAGCGTCATCAGGTCTAGGGCTCACTGCTGCAGTGACCAATTAAGGCCTCATTCGGTTATTCAGGAACGATGCCCTGAAATGATTCCCAGTTGAAATGGTTGACTAATTTGTATAACCTAAATCAGCTGGAATGGTTACTAGGTCCATTCTACCGTAACCGAACGAGGCCTAAAAGAATTCTGAACAAGAAGCCCCTGCACTGCACTGGTGATATATACATACGTATACGTACTTTGTGCGAATGACTTGTTGCCGCCGGTGACGAGGAACTTGGCCGGCGCCGTGCACGACTCCGGGCTCACGCACGGCGGCGGTTTATTGTCCATTTCCACCAGGGCGGAGAAGTTAAGGGCATCCCCCTTGTTGCCGGGAAGCAGCAGCACGACGGGCAATCGCTGGGCCACCGGCAGCGGGCAGGACTGGGAGCAAGAGAGGCCCCCGACGGCGTCCTCGCTGAGCCGCACGCCGGTGCGGCCGTCGCAGCCCTTGCAGTCGGGCTTGTCGCCGCCCAGGTTCTTGAACAGGTTGTCCATGAACGTCTGTAGCCCGCCGAGCAGGACGCAGACGAGCACCGGGAACAGGATGAGGCGGCAGTTGGCCTTGCAAGCGCGCCTCTGCATGCATACCCGAAGGCGGTTATTGTTGACAGGCAACGTACGTTAATTGTTGGAATAATCCAGAACGATGCAGAAGAAGGAGGAAGAAAAGACAATCGAGATCCATCATCGATCAGAAAGAACGGAAGAAGGTAATTAAAGGATGGATATGGAATGAGCAAGATGACAGGATATATACGTGGATCGCGAGGTTTTTCCTGAAGAGCGCATCGGCCTGGGATTGGAAGTCCGCCGCCCCCATCGTCGTCGACCTCGCCGCCATCATGCAATTCAAGGAGCGTAGAGAGAGAGAGAGCCCGATCGAGGCAGGCCGCCGGCGATAGTGCGTACGCTACACTGCTGCAGTTATTAGGAAGTTAACAATCCAACGGACGGGCGCGTAGAATCGAAGAAAGACGGTCCTGGCCTTGGAGCTCGCGGAAGATGCTCCTGCCCCGCCACGCGCACGCTCAACCGTTTCCGGCGCTGCCAAGAGTGGCAGGCGCTCGATCGTGTCGTGGACCCGGCCGTGGAATCCGCTTGCTCGCGCCTGCCACGGCCCACAGCGCGCGCAGGCGCGGGGAGCTCCAAAACTCCACTGAGCGCATTTAGCGAGGTTTTGCAAAAGTCCAGGCTGCTCAAATCTGTGTCGCATTCATCGCCTAAACTGAACCAATTTCATTCAAGACTTACAAACAAGCTCAGTGGACTGCCATATATAGTGATTCATAGATATATTCTGGATCTGCATGACTGCATCTCCCTCATGCTCATGCACGAGTTACCACACCAGTTTCAGTTCAGAGAATTCAAACAGCGCATACCGCATATATATGCACCACACCAGGGTCGGATCAGTCATCAGGTCACAGTGGACATGTCACTCTGCTTGGCCACTCTGACGAAGACGTCTTCCAGCGTCGTATCAGCCAGGCCCCAGGCAAGGATGTGCAGGCTGCTCTTCGCCTGCTCCATGGCCCTGAAAACCACGGAGATCTTCATACCCTGCTTCGGCAGCTCGAACTTCTGCGTTCCCGAGACGCGGTACACCCTGTTGGCCGCGGGCGAGATGGACTGGACCAGCCTCTCGATCTCCTCCTCCTCCTCGCCGGCCGGAGTTGTTACTGTCAGCACACATGAGCCTCCGTACCTGTCTTTCAGCTGGAAACAAAATCAAGAAATAGGATGGCCATGTCAGAATTCCGGATCACTGGCTGATACTGTCTGAAAATTTGATCGATCAAGTGTGTAGTGTACCTCTTTGGAGCTCCCAATGCACTGCAAGCTACCATTTGCGATGATTCCAATCCGGTCGCACAAAACATCAGCCTCTTCCATCGAGTGCGCTGAAAATAGAAAGATTCAAGCAATGTTTTCCCCATCTGATTGTCAATCTCATGATGACAGGTGAAGTCAAATACTGTACTTGTGAGAATTATTGTCCTATCCTGTTTCGCAGACTTCACAGCCTTCCACAAGTTTTTCCTTGATGCTGGATCCAAACCAGAGCTTGGTTCATCCATATAAACAACCTATAAAAGCACTCCACAAACATATTTATTTATTTATACTTATATGTGCACGAATATCAGGTGTTCCTTAAATCATGATTTCAGTTGATTAATAAAAAATACCTTAGGATCACCAATTAGAGAGATAGCAACACTGAGACGACGTTTCATACCACCACTGTACTTTCCGACGAGTTTATCAGGAACACCACCGGCAAGCAAGTGCATACTTCTCAAAGATTGTTCAATGGCCTGGAAGTAAGCGATCATCCTATGATGCTTTTAGTAGATTCTACTGTGCAATGATTTGGTTTATTTTGCAACCAGATAATTTTTTATTGGATTGTAGATCAGCTTGAATGATTTGTACAAGAGTAGTAGAGGACACAAACAACAAATGATGTTTGCCTGGAAATAACCCTACAGACTACAGTGACTAGTATTTTAATTCCATTCATCTACTCTTGATAGTACTTCAAGTGATCAATATTGACAGAAACAGAAACATCAAAATAACCCAGCACAATATTAGAGCAGTCAGGTCAAACAATACCTCAGCTAATGCTGCACCCTTTAATCTCTTAAGCCTGCCATAGAACAACAAATGCTCGCGACCAGTCAGGTTTTCCCATAGCAAGCTGCATCAGGTCATCCAGGAAAGAGGAAAGTCATCACAAGTTCGCAACTAAATAAGCTAACCTGAAAAACTGGTTCAGAAACATCTGAGTGAGACAGAGTAGTTTACTCATCCTGTGGACAAACACCAATTCCTGTATATATTTGGTCCATGTCGAAGCATATGTCCATCCCTTCAATGTATGCGGTGCCAGCGGTAGGTTTACAAAATCCGGTCAGCTGTTGACAGGTTAAGAGTACTCAAAACATGATAATCAGTATAACCGATGGATATTTGCAAAAGCTAAAATATATATAGGAGGCAAACTCTGGAGTTCAGTTTTATTACTACACGAGCACCCAAACTTTTTTTCTTAGATTTTTGAAGGAACACATAATTGCAGTCATTAACCACCTTCTCTAAATAGAGAGATTGACCTATACTTACATACCATAACCTATTGTGTCCAAATCTATATTTGAACTTACCATGTTAATAAGAGTGGTCTTTCCCGCACCATTTGGACCAAGAACGCCAAAACACTGACCACGTGACATAGAAATGGATATCCCTCTAACTGCAATTTTATCTGCATTTCCATCTTGTCCACGGTACACTTTCTCAAGATTGACGCATATGACTGAATAGCTTCTGCGAGATTCTTTTGATATCTGTTCAACTATCTCTCTCTGAAAAGAAAGGTGAAAATGATAAATTGATATGCACTACTTCACAAGTGACTTTGAATATAGATTAATCTGATTCTATATTTCAAGATCTGGTATTTTAATATATTTTTTCATTTCTCCTATATTTCAGGTGAGGTGGCTGATTTAAGATGGTTTCAGGCACACTCTTTGTACAACCAACTAGTACAAGTAAATTATTATTTTGTAATTTGTTATTTGCCTCTGTATCATAATATATCAAATTTTTGTCCTTATCTAACTATAGAAATAATTATAAATTATTAATTCTCTTTATGCCAACAAAGATCAGATTTTGTTGAGTTTTTGGTTTTGTCTAAAGGACTTTTTATTTTTAGAACCAAAAATTACAAATTATGCCTATATAAATTGTAACGAACTAAAGTTGCAATTTCAGTATAAAATATATGCAATAACCATCGTATGAAGCAGAAAATACTAGAACTAATTAAAATACCAGGTGTGTTAAAAAAAATGGGACTTGCTAAAATTCTAGAACTCATTAAAATATCAGGCGTGTTAAAAAATATGGGACTTGCTAAAATTCAAGCACCTAAATTTTAGCAAGTCCCTTTTTTTTAACACATCTGGTATTTTAATGAGTTCTAGTATTTTCTGCTTCCTAAAGTTACTTTAATAACCACTAACATGAAAATAATGTTAGGTGTAACTTTTTAGGTAGTACATTGTTGAGTTCAAACTCCTCATTAATTATCTCAACAGACTCCTGAAGCTCTTTCTAAAAAAAACAAAGAAAAAAAGACTCCTGGAGCTGTATGTAACTGATTGGAGTGTACCCAAGAATAGAGCAGAGCACACCTCTCTGATGACATCTGTTCTCTCCATTTCAACGGAAGCTCTGAACTCCTGAAGTTGTATGTTCTGCTGCTGAGCAGTTTCAACATGGTTCCCATTTACGCGGGAGCGAACAAATACTGCTGCTTTTCTCATTCCGTCTTTGATGGAATGAAAACGATCCAAATAGAATGTAAATAAAAGGAATACGAACCATTCTAGTACCATAATGATAAGTACACCTGCCAATCCATTTTCTGGATTAGTCATATCAGTCCATTGAATCCCCGAGGAGGCCATATAATTTCCATGCCGTTCAAATCGTGAGAATTCATAGACAATGCGGTATAAGGAAAATGCAGGTAAAAGTTCCATAAGTGTGATCCAGCTTCCTTGAAATGAGAAAACACAAAATTTCCAAGCAACTTATTAGAAATAACGAAAAAAACTTACATAAAAAAGAAGATCACTAACATCGTACATATCGACTTCATTAAGATATAGCTACTGAACTTTGTACATACTTGAGAGGTTAGCATCTTCAACATAGGATCTGAATATAAAATTGTGACAAAAGGCCAGACACAAATATGTACAAATATCCTGTCACTGCATGAAGAGATGCCAGATAATCAGTAGTTCAGTACAGAACAACAGATACTCCACATTATCTGATAAAATGGATATAATGCACACATTAACAGAAGCGTACCGGTATCTGTCCTCACACTAGAGAAGTATGTTGTCATAAGAAATGCAAATGAAATTTGCAAATTCATGTAAGCAAAATAGAATACAAACTGCACGCCATAGTTGTTCTGGCGGAAGAATGTTAAACCTGAACATAGAAATTGAAGTATCATTAGGTTTGCTTCCAATTTATAATAGTACCATGAGGCTTCTTTCCCTTTCATTAAAATTAGCATAAAAAGTAAAATAATTTCGTATAAAGAAAAGCCAAGATCTAACTGCAATTATATTGGTGCTTGCGTCAATTCCCTCATGATATCAGAACCACTATAAGTTCATCCTATGTTTCATTTTGATTATTATAAAGTACATTCCTAGTATTAAAAGTAATGTATCTTACCAAGGGCAGAACCAAATAGCATGAAGGACAGCACATAAAGCAGCGACAATAGTAGAAAATAGCAATAGGATATAGTCCAATACGGTAAATCTCCAAGACCATGCATCTTCATCATTATCCTTAGCTTATTTTGTCTCTCATATACAAGGTTTGTCAAAATTACCTGCAGAACCAACTAACCGGTTCACGAGATATGAAAATATTAACAATGTAACCACATTTATATGCTTCTTATAGTGACACCAAAACATATCAGATCATCCAATTCATATTGGCTATATATGGACCCAGATCAAACCGGTCATTGTGTACAGCTGGTATAGCTGCTCTAGGCATGTCTTTAACAAATTCAAATGACATCTTGAGACAATTACCCCTTAAATAAAGGTATGCATTTGAGGCCTGAAAAATTGGAACTCTATAAAGTGTAAAACAATGATGAAAGGGTGCCACAAATAGTTTGACAACAAAGAGAGTAGTAGTGCATGAACGAAGTCACTATAAAAGAAAATGAAGAATGACATGCATATGGGAATGAACAAAATGTTTAAAGAACAGAGGGGTTCCAATGAAAGAAACTAAAGAGAAGTTTTGCAAAGAGATATACTATTATTTATCTGAACTAGGAAAAGCGATACCATATTAGCTAATCGTGGGACTTGATCCGAATTAGCTTTTTGCACTGGACCTGCTGGATTATTAAGCACAGGGACAGATTGTTCTGATTCATCATAAAAACCATAGTTTGTGGAGTTGTATGAGATGATCAGGTTGAAGTTGCCCTAATCAGAACTTAAGAAATCATATGCTGCGTCACGTAGATGAACCACATATTAGATGCCAATGAGCAGTAGTTAGAATAACTGATTGACAGCACAAAGATTCAAAATATGACCTGCGGCAATTGCGTCGATCTTATGGTTATTATTCCCTTGGTAATAACCTCCATATAATTCATCATTAATTAGCCTTGAACTGTCACGCCAGAGCACTAATCCTTCTGTGCATTGTACATCTACTCCAAGAGTTCCGGTAAGCATGAGTAATAGGCAAAATGTAGTAACATTGCTAAATAGTAAGACAGGAGAATTGCTTGTGGATTTATTTATCATTTTGCCATGTGCTAAAAGACCGTACTAATCCCAAATATCTTTACCAGTGTCAGCAACAGCTGAAGCCATTGGCACTGCAACCTTTTATTTAGTTGAACCGAAATTTTTATCGTCAGTGAGCAATGCAGCATTTGATCTTACATGGGGATAATAGTTACCTTGACTCACGGTACGATTGCCATGTTGAACTGGATAAGAAAGTGTCAAGTTAGGGAAGCACTTGTTCTGAAGAAAAGATCCTCCATAATCTGCCTGCAGATATTCAAACATCACAAAATGCCCTGCCAATAAGGATCATACACAGAGAACTCAAAGAATGAAGCAGCCTACCAGAACAAAATCAGACAACGCAGAAACATCTGCCGACAAGTTCACTGAAGAACTATGAGCAGGGAAAATGTTATCCATCACACCTGCAAGGAGAAAAATGCTATTTCAGAAACCACTCACAGAAAGCTAGCACTGCACTGCACTCTGTCAGAATGAACAATTGGACAGCAAAAAAGACTTACTTTCTACAAAAGAGTGGTTGCCGCCAGTGACAAGGAATGTTGCCGCGCAAGACCCATTGACCCTGCACGACGCATCTGGGAGATCAGTGAACGGGAAGAGCCCGTCTTGAACCGCCCGGTACTTGAGAAATGGGATCTTGAGGACAGGGGGTTCTTTGGGCGCGCGAGGCAACGGGCACTCGTCTGGGCATTCTATGCCTCCCATCGCGTTCTCGTCTACGCTGACGTTGCTGCAGCTGCAGTCGAGATGGGTAGCAGGACTCGCAGCTCCCTCTCCCTGCGACGACGATGCGTGGTTGATGGCGATCTGTAGGCCGCCGATGACGGAGCAGAGGAGCAGCGGGAACGAGATCAGACAGCAGTTCGTCTTGCAGGCGCGCCTCTGCGGATTGGGAGCGAAATAAACGAGTCGAAATTCAGTGTCATGATGAGTGGTCTTGGTGTATTGTTCATGGAACCGCAGATTGAAAAAGAGTCGAAATTCAAAGTAGCGTCAGTGCAGGGAATTGTCATCTATGGTGACTGGTGAGAGCAAGATTGAACCTTGGTATGTTATTCATGCAACTGCACCAAATTCTGTCAGTCAGTGATCGAATCACAAAAAGGATCAATTTCATCCATTCGACGCAAGAACTTGAAAGATGCAACCTTGATTGAAAAAAATCCAAAACAAGAGGGAGATCAAGGCGGGGGTCACCTGGATTACAAGATTTTTCCTGAAGAGAGCATTGGTTTGCTCAAGATGGCTCGCGCCCATGGCTCTCTTGTTCTTGTTTGCCCTTGGAGAAGCCGAGAAGAGATGCTCTGATGCTGCACTCTCCTCTGCTGAGGAAACTGGTTTTGAGCTTGGCGGCTTAAAAAGCTAGCACTAGCAGTATTAGCACCGAGCGTATGGAATATGACAGCTTTTATTTGCGATTGGAGTTTGTCGTGGCCGTCACGGACAGGACACTCGCCTTCGGTCTTCCCGTGGACTCGTAGACCAACTCCTACTTAAGATTAGGCTGGAGTGATTTTTTTTTCTGTCCTGCAAACCACAGTACAAATGTAGGACATTGACATGATCTCCAAGACGACATTTAACACGCAGGAAACCAGGTCGCTGTCACCTGAGGAAGTGGCGCTTCGCAAAGAGCTAAAACGCAAATGTCTTGGATTCTTGACGTCCTTGCCTGACAATCGCCCGTCAGCGCTCACGTCTGCTGTTCCTCGCCGAGGGAGACGTGAACACCCGATTCTTCCACCTGCAGTCTTGCCACCGCAGGCGCAAGAACCACGTCGCATCACATTGTCAAATAACTTTTGGCATTTGTCGTAAAATAAGAGAACATTCTCTTCGCATTGTCTCTTATCCTAAATATAAGTCTTTTTTAGGACATTGGCATGATCTCGAATACGACATTTAACATGCAACTTGTATAAATACATACTCCCTCTGTTCCAAATTATAATTCATTTAACTTTTTTTGACCCTAAGTTTGATCACTCGTCTTATTCAAAAAATTTATGTAAACATAGTCAAAAATTAAAGTCATTCTTGAAGAACTTTTGTTAATAAAGCAAGTCACAACAAAAGAAGTGATATTTTACACAAATTTTTGAATAAGACGAGTGGTCAAACTTGGGACAAAAAAAAATCAAACGAATTATAATTTGGAATGAAGTTAGTGCTATAGATCAAGTTGTATTGTATAATATGAAAGGATTTTCCATACGTGATTAATCTAGCAACGTCAATCATGTGTTATCAACCTACGTAACGTTATATATATTGATAATCCCAGTTAAGAAGTTCGATGGGTGAACAATGTCGGTTTACCAAACTTTTTCTTTATTACGGAGCAGTGCAACACGTACATGTTGGCACACCAGATGTGACAAACTGATTTTCAGGTGGCAACTTTAGTTATTAGCCACCAATGAGTGCAAAATATCAGGACCAGTGAAATTCGAACTCCAAACAGAAATGGACACACGAATTTTTTGAACTCCTATAATATACTGCTTGATCGATCAATCCTCTTCAGTCTTTCACCAGCCAAGCCCAATGGCGGCGGGCACGGCGCGGCCAGGGCGGGCGGGTGCGATGAGGTTGCCGGCGGGGTCGTAGTTGATGACGCCGGAGAAGTCGGGGAGCTGGCACTTGCCGCCCATGAGGATGCCCTTCTGCCAGACGCACGGCAACGCCTCCCCGCCGCCGGGCTGCACCTGGTGCACGGCCGCGATGACCGGCTCTGTCCGCCGCCGGCTCACGCTGGCCAGGGCGCGCCGCAGCCGCCCAGCTGGCCCCGGCGACGAGTGCGACGCGCACAGTGCCAGCGCCAGCGCGCACACGGCCAGGAAAGCTGCCGCGGCGGCCACCGCGGGGCCGAGGTGGCTGCCTGGCCCTGACGCCGCCGGCAGCGCGGCGGCGATCGCGTGGAGCGCGAGGTGGCGCGGCATGCTTGCTTTAATTTCTGGAGTGGAATCCCAGAAGTGTTTTCTCTGACTCTGAGCTGAGCGGTCACTCGGTCAGGTGTGGTGTGCTGGCTCCTTAGATGGTGAATGGCTGAATCCTGCGGCGTTGGAGCGCGCTGGATTTTATGAATTTATAGCGGCAAGCCACCGAAGCCAGATTTGCCGTGCTTTTTCGTGCGTGGAGTAGTTTGCTTGCTCTGCCTGTGAAAGAGCTGCATGGAGCTGGTGGTGGAGCCAAGACTGGAGAGTGGTTTGCTAGCTCTGCATGTTCCAACTTGCCCAGGCATTGACTCTTGAGTGCTAACTGAACCATTCTGTTTCGAACCTTTCCAAAATTCAGCTATTTTAAAGTAGTAATTTGAAGCTTTAAAAGGCCTAAAAATTTGACTGCAGCTTCTAACAGACATATTGCTCAAATCAGTATTTATTATGTTTTTGTTTGTGATATGTAAGGATGGAAAATATCTCAGTTTGGGTCACTTTACCTGACGAGATAAAACAATATGTTGCCAATTATGCTACTACTCCCTCTGGCCCAAAAACAATGCAATTTTCTCAAGTTTGACTTTTTTTATAGAAAAAAAATATCAATATTTATGTCTCCAAATAGTTTTACTATGAAAATATATTTCATAATCAATATAACAATACTTATTTGATTAATACTTTTTTTCCTATAGAGGTGGTCAAAATTAAAATTGTTTCTCTCTTCCGGAATTGAGAATTGCATTTTTTTTTTTACAATCTCTATTGGCGAGGCATCAGTCTTTTATTCCGTCTTCCAATCAAGAAACAAAGCAACTCAATCCCCACCCCCCCCCCCACACCCCTCAACCCCAACACACAAAAACTGACACAATAATTGCGTGCATTGTTTTCTAAGAGTATTATGATCAGTAATTTTAGATGTTTCTGGTCCTGATTTCTACTGCCACACAGATATCATGGCTCAGGTTTTGTTCTGAGTCAACACTCTCTCCTTCAAGATCCTGAGGGCTTCTCCAATCCCATCCTGTGCACAATATAACAAAGTGAAAAGTAGTAAGTTTTCAATCTTTTTTTGAAAATAATAAGCATTGGTATATATGGCTATGCCCTTGATACAATGATTGTAGTGTTCCATCGAGACAACGCACCTCAAAAGAAAGCCTATCAGCAATTCTGGCCGCCTGAGTTTTGATTTCCGGTGATAAAGCTGATCTGATAGCTCCAACTAGCACATCGGCAGCATTGTGGATGCTCAAGGCATCATCGTTATCTGGGACTAGATTTTGTCTTTGTAGGGGTTCAGGCGCCACTCCTAACCAATGTAGCCTCTCTGCCCAGTAAAATTGGTCCAGCAGGAAAGGACATGTTACCTGCATGAAAAGATTTAGTACAATGGGTCCATCCCAAAGCAGGTAGCTATATCATTAAATGGTCAAGAAAATGCAGAATCTTGAAGATGACGTATTTGTTTGAATCGGCATCAGAACTTCAATTTTTTGTTATAGAATTACTAGGCTTGATGCTTCTTACACATCCAAGTATCACAAGTTTAGTAAAGGACAAGAAAAAAGCAGCAGAAAGACAGCCTCAAACATGATGAAGCTATAGAAAGTGCTGTCACCTGAGGGATTCCAGCAAGTAGTGCTGCAGCTGTAGATCCACTGTTGTCAAAGCAGTAAAAACATAAAATCGTTTGCGGAAGTACCAGTATCATGCAAGATTATGAATCAGACAATGAGAGGAAAAATTGAGTGCTCTCTTACCTGCCAGCATGGTGAATAGCAGCTGCACATCTAGGAAAAAGCCAACTGTACGGTATTGATCTGAAAATTGTAATATTACTCACAACCAATTCCACATGGCAGGACAAGCATATAACATCAATCTAGTACTCACCCTAAAAAGCAGAAAAGACGGCCATTAAAAAGGAGAGTGCTGTCACCACCAAGAGACTCCACGCCTCTTGATTCATTTTCTGATGAAGCAATGGATTGGATTGCAGAATCCAATGGCTTGTATCCAGATGAAAAAAGGATGAATCTATAGTCTGATGACTCTATGGCAGCCTTAAGCACCATTAAAAATGCTTTAGGATTTCTAAGAAAGCCCATTCTGCACCAGATTGGTCATAAAAAAAATATGTAAGAAAAAAAAAATCTAGGAAATTTCTAAGAAGATTTGGAATGACAGGAGGAAAAAAAAACTCCTAAAAACATAGAACATAGATATGTAAAATGAAGCTAGACCTAGAACGTAGAATGTTTTGCAAAGTGCAAAGCCATGTCCATAACTTTCTACTAACAGCTACATTTAGAGCAAAATAAGGCAATGAGAGCTGATCAACTTAGGTTCTACAATCTACATACTCTGATATACACTACTTAAAAAGATTAGTTGGTGGTGGTGGTTAGTTCTAAAGTTCTACTATGCCTTAACTCCGAGGACTTTTGTGCATTGATTTGTTCATGCATATGTGTATGCTCAGTGAATCCTTTGTGCACAGCTGTACTGAATTTCTTTGAGGTTATGGATTAATGATAGGTCAGAAAATCTATGTAGCTTCAAGGTTAAAAAATAATATTTGTGAACGATGAATAGCTCAATGAGTAGAGACATAATTTCAATATTTGTTGGAGATCCATTGCAATGCACAAGCACCAGGATAGAAAGAGTAAAAATAACAATACGAGTAATATTGGATGAGAAACACACCTACCAATGGAACTTAATCCTGCAAATATAAGTCTTGATGAATAAGCATTCCTTGTGAGGAAGTGTTCCAGGGAAAAATGGTTTGCACACAACATACCGCCAGATGAAGAATTGGTATTTCCAGACAACTCCATGCATTTGTCACAAGAAAATTGCCAAGCCATAGGAAGAAACCAAAAGCCACAAGCATGAGCATTGAATGGCCAATATCCTACCATGATGTTATGTAAAGTATTACTGAAATTAGGTACATGAAATTTGAAGAAATATAAACATCTAAAATGATTTTAAAAAGATGTGAGGGCACCAGAGCTCACCTGGGCACTCCACAATTTCTTTGCTGAAACCATACCTGGAAAAACAAAACTAATAATCATTTATCCAGTATAAACTAATACAAGGGTGGTTTATCATTGTACAATTAATTACCATCAATCAATCACAATATTTCATTTCCTAAGTTTCCCGTTGTCAAAGCACTAGCTCACAGAATATAGAATATGAAGGTGTATTAACTTGATTGTTCTCATATAAGGCATGATACTAACAGTAATAAAGGTGACTCCTCTCGCACATGCCACAAAGGAAGATTGGTTACTGGATCCTGCAGTTATCAGAAAACCTGACCTCAGTAATGTTCCAACAGCTTAAACAGGACTGCAAACATACAAACAAAAACAATTATAGATAATACCCACTGTGAAAGGAATAGGGCTAAGATTCAGACAATCATTTCTCCATGATCCCCAACTTTCCGTGAAGAGTGCCCACATCCAGTTGATAATGTCAGTCCAGCAGACCTACCATTGCTTTACAACATTAATGTAGCATTTTTCCCCCTCAATGCTTAAGAGGCATACAACATTTCTCATACATTTCAGATGCTAACATATGAGAATCTGCAATGTCTGTGTCACAGAGGTGAGATAGAATAAAAATTGATAGAGAAAGGCCAAGAGGCTTAGATTACTTGATGATGAGATTACAAGAGGGTTACATATATATAGAGAGAGGCTAAGCTAGAGAGTTAAGAGGGAAGAAGTCCCATGCAACAAGCTGGGAGTACCTAGGCAGCACACTGGGTAGAAACCCAAGAGGCAGCCGATACAAAGTAATAGCTAGAGGAAATAAATACTCTAACAAAAATCACATAGCATAAGTATGGTGTATGGCACTATGGCAAACCTGATAATTACATAGAATGGTAAAAGTGTTCAGCCTCAAGGATCTAACGGATATCCCAACTGCTCTACAGGGCTTGGTGTCTACAGAATGAAGTGCTCTATTGTTTCCTCTTATATAATAATAATAATGGGCACTGTGTGAAATACATAAAATGGTAATAGTCATGAGACTTATGTCTCTAGAAGACGACCCAATTTATCTGCACGCCATGCCGATAAGTTAAATAGAGTAGCAACTTTAAAAGATTTGTTTGCCAATCCGAAACTGATAAATCCAATGACAAAGAGGATTTGAGAGAGAAAACATTGTTATGAGGCATTATTCTGTACCGTGTTTGCAGGAGCTTCTTGGAAGTACTTGTACAGTAGAGGAAAATTTTGTTTAAATTGACGTTCAAATGATGTAGGAGCACTGAAAAAAAAACAAGTGCTAGAATATTAAATTATTGAAAATGAGGCATAAACACACTAAAATTACTGATACATATCTAATAGAGTAATACTGTAGAAGATTAGATAACCCCCTAATGAAATAATTTAAAATGCACATGTGAAATCGAAATCAATATAGCCCAAGTACCTATATGGAACAAAATAGGGAGCAGCAATGACGCACTTTACTTGGAATAGTTCTGCGAGGTGCCAACCTTCCTAAATCATGAGATGACCCATATTATGATAGCATAAAAAGCATTTTGTTGCTGAATTAGGTTATTAGAAATGATTCTGATTTCCTAAATATAGAACTGATTGGTTAAAAATATCGTGGATATGTCCTCTGTCATGTGTGATAAAATCCATGATTTCAATTTTCAACATGTGTTGTGAATCAGGGTTTTCATATCATTACCGCCACTTGTAATAACTGAACAGAATATTTTGAAGAAAATAATAAAACCAAGTTCTAACTTATACATGAACAAAGATATTACTCAGTTACTTACCAAAGCAAAGAAATTGATCACAATAAAATCCCCACTGATGCTTGGATCGTTTCCAAAAACTTCTTCAATAGAAGACACGCATTCTTTCCTGTGCTCCATCTGAATGGCTTTTTTCCGCATTGAAAAGGACTCATGCTCATGATTTGATTGAATAGAATCGCCTAAGAAAGATAGTTGCATGAATAATCGTTTTTTCCAGGAAATAACTGGACCACATGTGATTCAATTAGCCTCCTGGCAGTGGCACTTACTTGAGATATTCTCTACCTGTTCGTCAGCGAGGACAGGCGGGCTTGACACAGGCATGTATCTGACATTGCTGGCCGCTAGATGTGCTGACAAACTCTGCACCAAGTTCATTACATTATGGCACATGAAGTAAACCTGAGTATGAAAACTGTTCCCCTTTAGCAAGCCTTCTTACCCGGTGCGCGGAATGAGTGATGAACACCACAGCATACTCCTGCTGGCCACGCGCGAAAGCTGCAGCAAGCGCCTACAGAACGAATACGGATGGAATCAAATTGAAAGCACAGCCCTCCAAACTAAATCGAGTCCATGAGCTTAATCCCGATGTATCCTGACGGCTCAGTAACAGGTGGAGCAAAAGGAAGCAAAATCGTCTCCAGAAGTCAGCTGCGAGAGGGGGAGGTGAAGGAAGAGAAGCATACTGCGATGGGGAAGACGTCGCCTTGAGTGCCGAAGGCCATGAAGACGGCGCGAGGCCGGCTGCCGCCGCCGGCGCGGCCTGCCATCGTCGCCTCGCGAATTTGGGGGTCTCGTACGTGCCTCGCCGGCGGGCTGACGCGGATAGGCCGTAGGCGAGCGCTGTCTGTGGGCTACTGATGGGCCGATTCACCTTTCAGCCGAATTTGATTTTTTTTCATTAAATAAAAAACCCAACCAAAAACCTTAATTGGCCTTTTGCTGAGCCGTGTGCAAAACTGCAAATGCTTGACTGAAATATAGAATGTGAAAAAAAATCACGCATTACACAATAACAACAATCTTTACTAATGCTGCGAAAAATGCAAGGAGTCATCCATGTGGGAGGATCGACATATGCCCCTAAACAATAGACATGCACTATTCTATTTTCCTTCCACGCCTATAGGTGGGCTAGGCAGCTAGGCGGCTAGGCGCACATCTCCCGCCTCTCCTTACACTCCCTTCTCTCGCAACTATGAGAGATTTTGCTAACATGAGAAGCTCAAAGCAAATAAGTACCATATTAATCAGAGAGAAATGAAAACATATTGAGCGTATGTGTTGATAGATCACTGTTCTATTTCCCATTATTTATGGAATGAATTCAACAACCTTTAAACTTGGTGAAATTGCCTCAAGTGAAATTATAAACAATATTAAAGAACACTTTAAGAATTTATAACGAATTGTTCTTATAGTTTTTTTAATATCAAAGGTAAAATGAGTATGATGACAAAAATATACTCCATCCATTTTAATTATAAGACGCTTTGGCTTTTCTAAATACACAACTTTTGTTATGCACTTAGATAAACATTTTGTCAATCCGCAAAACATAAACTAAACACACCTTATACAAGACAAGAGAAGACAAAAAAATATTCTTGGGTAAATCTTGGAAATTCATCAAATAATTTATATCGGGTTGAAGGAGCCAATTTTTTGTGTAAGGGACTAAGTACACATACAGAAATTGAAATTTATCTGCAGGATAGTGAAATGGAATTCTTAAAGTAGAAAGTGTGGCTTGTTCGGTTAATCATCCTCCGTGGTCCGTGGAGATTAGAGGTATTTGGTGATTAAGTCACTTGCCCATGCGGGCCATGCATGTCTCCACGATGTTTTGAAAAATATATCAAGCGGCCAGAAAGAAAAAACAAACAACATCATCGTCTAACACGCGCATCGCTAAAAACCCACAGATTCGATCAGCCATCGCCCGTGGAAGCAGCGTGCACACCACACATGTTGGAACTCGAACGTGGAGTGGAGAGACAGAACAGAGTACGGGACGCGGCGTGGGCACGTCCATTTCGTCTGCTGGATGCCAGCTCTTCTTGGAATCGAAGGGAATTGTGGACTCCTTGCCCCGCCAATTGGCGTCCTTCCCTCCCTCCCTCTGCGCCATTGCCAAGAAACAAGACATCTCGCTCCGGAAGTTACTCGCGACATTTTTGTTGCCCTTGCTGCTGCGTGCATTGGTGACTCGGTGCCTGCCCTGCCGGTGTCACAGTTGGCAATCAATTAGAAGCGGCCATTGAAGCTCGAAGCTCGCACACAGCCAGCTGCGGCCATCATCGTCGTCTTGCTCGCGCCGTGCTTCGTTAGCATCCAGTAGCCCTGCCGCTTCGTTTTCAAGATGAATGACCTCTTCACGTCGGCCTCGTTCAAGAAGTACGCCGACCTGAAGCATCAGGTGGTGCTGGACGACCTGGAGTCCGGCGGCGGCGGCATCGAGGCGGAGGCGGCCGCGTGCCTGGACCGGTTCTTCGAGGACGTGGAGGGCGTGAAGGAGGACCTGCGCGGGCTGGAGGCGCTGCACCGGCGGCTGCAGTCGGCGCACGAGGAGAGCAAGACCGCGCACGACGCCCGCGCCGTCAAGGCCCTCCGCGCCCGCATGGACGCCGACGTCGACCAGGTGCTCCGCCGCGCCAAGGCCGTGAAGGCCAGGCTGGAGGCGCTCGACCGCGCCAACGCCGCCAGCCGCAGGCTCCCCGGCTGCGGGCCGGGGTCCTCCACCGACCGCACCCGCACCTCCGTCGTCACCGGGCTCGGCAAGAAGCTCAAGGACCTCATGGACGACTTCCAGGTAGATAGCCGGCTCGCTCTTTTCCTCGGTCACGGCGAGTCGTGGATCTAAAGCGGCGACGCGCGCGTCTCTGAACTGAAACTGAGTGCAGGGCCTGCGGACGCGGATGGCGGCGGAGTACAAGGAGACGGTGGCGCGGCGGTACTACACGGTGACGGGGGAGGAGGCGGCGGAGGGGACGGTGGAGGCGCTGATCGCGTCGGGGCAGAGCGAGACGTTCCTGCAGAAGGCGATTCAAGAGCAGGCGGCCGCGGCGGCGGGGCGCGGGCAGGTGCTGGACACGGTGTCGGAGATCCAGGAGCGGCACGACGCGGTGGTGGAGCTGGAGCGCAGCCTGAGGGAGCTGCACCAGGTGTTCCTGGACATGGCGGCGCTGGTGGAGGCGCAGGGCCACCAGCTGAACGACATCGAGAGCCACGTGGCGCGGGCCAGCTCCTTCGTGCTCCGCGGCGCCGTCGAGCTCGAGGCCGCAAGGGAGTACCAGAGGAGCGGGCGCAAGTGGGCGTGCGTCGCCGTCGTCGCCGGCGCTGTGCTTGTGGCCGTCGTCGTGCTCCCCGTCCTCGTCAACCTCCACCTACTCAGCTTGAGACGGTAGATCGTCGGCGTTTCGCGGGCATCCGCCGTCGATCGATTTCTTCTTCGTCTTGTGCTACCGTAGAACTTGGATTGCGGTGGAGATTGCTGATCGTTCTAGCTAGAGAAACAGTGTTGGTTACATTGGAATTGTTGCTTGTTTATTATTCGTTTGAGCCGGCATAGTGGTACCGACGTGGCAAAAAAAATGCCTGAAACTGAAAGACGCGCCTTTCTAGCTCCATGTCCGCACGTCGGCGAGGAACGTTCGTGGCCTGCCGAGTGCCGAGTGCCCAGGCACCAGACACGAACACCATCGTGCAGTGCAAGTGCAACCAGTGGCGAGGTAACGACATGCTTGCCGCTACTACTTGTACGTTGAGAATTCGAGCCGTGCCCGTACAACGATCTAAGAGCTCAGATGCTTTGGCATTTCGATGCTACATAGATGATGTAATCGGCAGCAAATTTGGACGGCGTGGTAAAGTAAACAAGCATTGTTCGTCATCCGCTGAACGGAAAGGGACAAACGCCCTTTTTCTATGGATTACTTGGATGCTGTAACCAATTAAACTGTGCTTTTGTTTAATGAAATGTGTGTTACAAGAAGAGAAGCCATGTTGAATACAAAGAATAACAATTTATTATTAGTTTTAACCATCAAAGCACCAGTGGTCTAGTGGTAGAATAGTACCCTGCCACGGTACAGACCCGGGTTCGATTCCCGGCTGGTGCATCTGTTGCGTTTTTATTTTTGTGTGCACTGGATTTTTGGACGGACACCGATATTGCGCGACGCGACCCCCCACGCCTGACCCACTTCCACATGTGCTGCAGTCTACTGCATGCCGCATGCGCCCGCGACAAGCTCATCGCTTGTGGTCCAAGGAGGCACGAAAATAAAAAAACAAAAAAGTTTATTTAAATTGCTATAACTTTTTAAATGATATATCTGTTTTTAATTTCGTTTGCACCGAAATATTTTACGTTTCAAGAATTTTATTTTAGTAGCAATTTATGTGTAAAAACGTGCTAGGAGATTTTTTTAATGAGTTACTTACCTGTACTTTGAAAAATTTTTTATTTGAATAGTTAGCAATTTGAACTAATTAGGCTCAAAACGTAAAATGTGCTAGGAGATTTTTAATGAGTTGTTACCACGAAATACTAAACTTGCTACTCCAAATATATACTAAAGTTTTTACATGGTATGTGCATTGATTCTTACCATGAAAATATAATATATTTGTTATATAATATTTACATAAGGGTACTAACCCCTAAAAGAGTAACGGACCAAAAACAAAATAGTTTACAACATGGAGAGGCAAATTATTAAAATAAACATTGCATAAGCTGCCAATTAAACGGGCAAGTTAATATACAACACGTTACAAAAAAAAGTCAGGAAAACATGACTTGCTTCCAACTGGGGGCATTTATTAAAAAATAGGGATAGCGATACAAAACAAGACAACCTGCAACTGGGAGGAAATTATTAAAACAAGCATGCATAAGCTGCCAAGTAGATGGACAAGTTATTATAAAACCTATTATATAAGCCGAGAAATATGACTAGCTGACAATTGGAAATACATTTATTAAAAAGATAAGAGTAGCAACCCAAAATAAAACAAGATACACCATGAGGAGCAAACTATTTGAAGAAGCATTGCATAAGGTGCTAACTTAGAGGGTAAGTTATTATACAACTAACATGTTGGATTTAGGAAGCATTCAAACCTAAAAGAGAGAAAACTAAAACTAAAAAAACATTAAAAAAACTTGACTAAAAACTGAAACTAAAAAACATTAAAAAATCATTTTACTAAAAATAAAAGTGAAAGTGCATTCAAGCTCTAATTGTGGGTTTTGGTGATAATAACCACGCAATTAGAAAACTAATGGGATTTATCGATATGACAAGCAGAGAATTCATGTTCAAGGATGCTACACGAAATGGAGCCCCTAATTACAAATGTAGATGGCCTCAAACTCAAAGTAGGATTAAATTTTTTTATATTTTGAAATTAAATATAGGAAAAGTCATACTATAAAGGGGGACACAATGTTTAAGCTAATATGCGCTACCAAGTGTTAAAACATACACATGCATCCTCAGATTCACAGTCAAGACAGTCTACACTTCACTCCTACTCTTGCTGTCTTACATGGTGCGGCACCGCCGCACTTGTAGAGAGACACTACCGCGCCTTAAGTGACCGTTGGGGCTGAGGGTGTATTTATACCTATCCTCTTCCTCCCAATGTCTCTCTTCTGGCTCCTGCTCATTCCAGCTGGTTCAAAACATAAAAGAAGCTCTCTCTCTCCCTCCATTGTTGACCTTAAGCCTCTAAGCAAATCAATTGATTTTCCATCAATCCTTAAGGGGAAAGGGTCCAAAACTCGATTAGAAAGCAGCTCCATTGATTTTCAACTCGAAAGAGCACTTGGTTCACATTTTTGGCCGGCGGTTGTGTTTGTTACTTTTGGAGCTTGACTCCTAGCTGGCTACATCGTTGCCCGTGGAGCTTGCCAACTTGTATAGCAGCCCCGGGAGGTTTATAACCATCTCTTGAAGTTAGTAAACACATCCCTCATCTCAAGAGTTAAGTCTATTGATTTGAGAACGAGGAAGGGTTCGAAAGCCCTAAGCCTTAGTGGCTAACTTCAACAACGTGGAGGTAGGCAGGCCTTGGTGATGAACCGAACCACGGGATAAATCATTGTGTCATTTGTGCTTGATTTACATTACTTGCATAACATATTATGATTGAGGTGATTTCTATGGTTTATAGTCGATCTACTTGTGTGTGGTGTTCCTACCACTTCTAACTCTTGATCTATGATTGTCATACCTACAGTAAGCTAGGAAATTTCTCCGATCTAAGTTTTCGTTCACGGATTTTGAACTATGACTCAAAGTTGTCTGCAGGTGCGGCAGTGCTGCTGTTCTGGCCCGGCAGTGCCGCAGGGTGAATTTGATAAAAGTTTGAGTGGGCGGCAGTGCCGCAGGGTGAATTTAATAAAAGTTTGAGTGTTTGTTTTGACAGACATATTCACTCCCCCCTCTAGGCCAACCAGAGATTAAAAAAGAAACAATAAAATAATGAAATAATGAAACTGAAACAAGTATACCAAATGAAAAAAATACTGAAACTAAAATAACCGGATAAAATATTTATGAAACTAAAATTACCAGATACTTAAAACTAATATTGACAACTACAAAATAAAACTAAAATCGTCAAAAGCTAAAAATTAAAGTAGACACAATGAAAAATAAAGTTTCCATCAGCTTGTTCGTTTGCTCGTATACGATCGTGGATTATAAGTTGGAATAGTATTTTTTTTTTCTGATACAAAACCAGCCAGCAGTATTGTTCTCGTCAATGCTAGTTAAAACAGTCAGCTAAAATAGCTTGCCAAGTATGAAAAACAGAGAGCATACTGCCTATCTCCGTTGACTAACGAAGATTACCTTGTGGCTTTATGCCTTTATCCGTTCACCAGGTCCAAAGCAACAAGCGAGGAGGAAGGCTGCTGCTGTCGTGCGTACCGATCACCAGAGCTGCGCAGGCGAGCAGTGCAGTGTGCAGTGGCTGGGCAAAGCGGACGCCTGTGGCAGGGACGTGACGTACGTAGATTAAAATTTTCCGCAGCGCTGAGGCAGGCCATCGGCCCATAAAAGCTTTCTTTTTATTTTTGTATTTGAATATAATTCCTAGAATACGATTCCTGGAATGAGTTTCAATTCTAGTTATCCAAACAGGCTGAGGCATCAGACTCACGACTCACGAGGATGAACGGTGGCAAGAGGTTTGGCAGCGGCCGGGTGCCCACGGGGACTCCATCCCTCGCGTGGTCTTCTGTCGTCATCGTCGGCTCCCTCCTCGCTGGTGCCTCCATCGTCCACAACATCTACACGCCTGACATGGTTCGTCTGTACTCTGTACAGCCCTTCCACCCCTGCCACCGTGCACACCACCTGTTCGACCCAATCCCTACACCAGACCCTCCTGCTTATTCTTCCATTTTCATTTCCCGCTCCTGCAGACCATTCCACCTGTGGAGAGTACCAGCGGAGGCAGCGGCCAAGGGAGCTGAGTTGCGAATGGCTGGACACTACATGCAAGAGAGGCTGGGCATGAAGAAGTGAAGAACCGGCTATCAGCACTTATGATATTTTTCTTCTTCAACACAAACAATGTTCTGTTGTCTTTCTCTGATTTGCGATTTGTGACGAAAAGATGTTAAGCGACATAGTATTTGCTACGTTAACGCTCCTGGTGGCGCATAGCCATGGTCTATGTACGTGTGTTCAGCCATTCAGTTTCGTTCCTCGGTTTGTTCAGCGCTACAATTGGAGATGGATTGAGGAGGCACGCAAAGAAACCTGCTTATATTATTGAGTTGTATGTACTGGGCTTCTGGCCAATTCATAAGATCTTGATGAAACTTAACTTGGAGGGAGAGAAAAGGCAATACCAATGCACACATCAAAGCCAAGAATGCACAACTGCACTACCATGCTTAATGCTATCTTATGTCTCACTAATGACTAATCACTACACATTCTCTGCCTTGTACCTTGCCATGGTTACCAAAGAATACCGCAAAGTGCAGCGCACGTGCCACAGGCATGGGTTCATGGCGCCGCTCAAGGCTCAAACACTGAGCACGCCCCTGTCGATCACTTGAGACCATGGCGCCGGTCGAGCACTGATGGTCTGAGTCGGAGTGTTAGGCAAAAAGAGCTGATTTCATCCACGCCGGTGACGGCGAGCCCCGTCCCACGGCGCTTGCCTGGCGTACCGCGCGGAGAATGACCGCGACAGGTTCTCGGGCTCCCCCGCCGCGCCGCCCTCGTCGAAGTTCTGCGCGTACTCCTCGTGCCCGTACTGCTGCTCTTTCACCGACGACCCGCTCCGGCTCATGACGGCCGCCTTCCTCCTCCTGCCCCTCGCGATCCACGCCCACAACCCGCGGACCACCGCCCCCACGCCGCCTGCCGCGGGCCGGGGCGCGCGCCCGCGGAACTCGCCGTCGTCGTCGTCCCCGAGGTTTCTTGGCCATCCGTGGCCGCCTCCGGGGCCGCATGACGCGAAGGTGGCCGCGAGAGCGGCCGGCATGGACATCTGCCTCCTGAGATCGTGTGCCGCGACGGGGATGTACGGGCTTGTGGCGGCACGGTACGATTCCGGGGTGGTGGCCGTCATCATCAGCAAGTCCAGCACGGCGGCGGCGAGGTGGCAGGGATGGTTGGTTAGTTCGAGGGGTTTCCAGGCTGCTCTGTGGATGTGAGTGTGACTGTGGTGGACCTGCGCTCGCGGTGATTCACGACGAGGGGGATATGCAACTGCTGCGGGGTCGTCGTTTGCTGTTTGGCGCGGGTCAAGTGCGTGGTGCGACCGGGCGGCGTTGCTGGCTGGCGGCCGTACTGTACACGTGTACAGGTGGAAGAACGGGGCAGTTGGCGGCTCGAACGTTGCTGATGAGTAAACCAGAGTTTCCTTTTTTTTTAACGAAAGAAGAATTATAGTAATTATAGCCGAGTATACATCGTCATGTTATAAACATTCTGGAATACATGATACTCATGTATGTATAGCTCCAAATCTCAATCTCAAGCCTATATGACGATTCAAATGGATGATCGCATAGACAAACACTCAGCAAATAGGCTGAGAACTAGTGCCTAAATTAAGAACGGTGGCCAATATTTCTGTTAGCGGAATTGAGCATAATCTTCTTCTTTCTTGTGTCTTACTTCTTTTTCCTTCTGCCATTGAAGAAAAAGAAAAATCGAGCCAAATTTTCCTAGTCTTTCATCATTGTTAGATCAAACCACAACAAAACGAAAAGAGAGACTGGAGATAATTATTCCACGGCGGCAACATCATCTCTACCTTGATGTCGCCGTCCGAAAACCTAATTTCCTATGTCGTCATGCCAAGGAAGTTGGTAACGCCGTAGTTGTCGCCCTAATCTTTATCAGAGTCACCATAGAGAAACCAAATTCACCTACCTCCTCACCGTCACCGAAAAGGGAGAGGAGGAAACAAATCTCCAATACCAAGAAACGCCAACCCTAACATGACTTGATCTACTAGAAAACTATTAGAAAGATGGATCCTCACTCCTTCAGCGTCCGACAGAGTTGCCTGAGGGGGGGGGAGGGACCAGCGGCGGTGGATATGAGGGCCTACGGCGCGGTGGGGGCCTGTTGGTGAGAGAGGTCCAAAACACATGATAGTTCTGAGTAAAAACAAGAGGTAGGTTCTCGCCTGGAGATGATCCGAGCAATTTAAAGTACCCACGACGTTACTTTTTATCGATGCTGAAAGAGGAGAGAGATTCGAACCATCGAGAAAAGCCGTTGTATGTACCAATGCTGAACAAAAGAATTACATGACTCGAGTCATCTACTTTCCTCAGTGCTAAGTAAATAAAAAAAAATTTCCTACCGGCGTTGATCACTCTACCACACACAAAGCACACAACTTTTTCCTCTGAGCACCAACGCTGTCAGACGCACATGCATTCTTAGCATGATGCCAACGTTGCAGGGCTGTTTGGGACATCGACGCGAAGTGGGAGAGAATCTTTTCTTTGGCCGTCGACTACCCTACACGGTGGAACCCATGTTTGCTGTAACTGTAAGCTCATGAGGTGGCTGTGGCTCCATCCTTTCCTTTGATGGGCAAGATCTGCGAGAAGGAGAAATATCTCTCAACAAAAGCCGTGCCGTCTCACTCGATTTACGTGACGAACTTTGGCATTTTGATTTTTTTTTAGTGGATGGCATTTTGATTTTTGATGAACCACGACGTCTCGTCGGTCGACAAGTCAGCACAGATGGCAACCAGTCAAAAGGGGCTGCTCGGGCCTACCTGCGGCAAGCTCGGCCTGCGCAGGAACTGCCAGAGAGACAGCCGAGCCCAGGCCCATCAATCACGCCAGGTCAGACGATTGCTCCCGCTGGGTCTGCCCCATGGGCCCTAGTGGTCCGTATCGCCCCACGGGCGAGCCGGTCGGTCAAAGCCGGTGCCTGCACCACACGGGCACGGGCAAGCGCCAGCACGCCGCACGCCTCCGCTCACGCAGCAAGAACCACGCCAGCCAGCCGTCGCCGCTCTCGTCATTCGCGTCTAGAACTAGAAGCATTTTGAACCTTCCATTCCACGCGGTCCTCCTCCGTCTCCTTTGCCTCCCGCCCGTCCCCGACCTTCCTTCCATCCAGGTTCAAGCTTCCAAGACTCTTCTTCCCAATCCCAGCCGCAGGAAAGCCAAACCCACCCACACTTTTGACCTCGCCCCCGACCGATCAAACGAGGCGGCTCGCTACCGACCCGTCGGCCGGACTTACTTGAGCAAGTCTTCCTTCCACCGCCGCCCCTTCCATGCACTTCACAAACGCACGCATATATATACACCGCACCATGCCACCATGGCAGCAAGCTCTCCCAGCAACACCACAATCATAGGAGTATTTCCTTCTCGGCCTCCGTTGCTGCTTGCGTACGTTAGTTACGGTGCGCCACCAGGCTCGGTTTGATCCTTTACTCGGCGTCAGAACTCAGAAGCATGGCAGCAGCTGGCAAGTCGTCGGCCATGGAGGAGACGGTGGTGGCGGGCGCCGCCGCGCGGGGGAGGCGGGGGATTGACCGGCAGGCCGTCGATAGGGGCGTCGCCTACCTGCTCATGGTGTCCGCCCTCGTCGCCACGTACGCGCTTCACTAGAGCTCTGCTCCGGCGGCAGAGCTCACGGGAAGGAAGGCTTTTGTGCGCTTTGCTTCCCGGCCTCAGCCTGAGAGTTCCCCTGCACCAAACTTCATTCATTTGTCTTCCACTCTTCCTCTTGCAAGGAGATGGAGATGCCTGTGTACTATAAAGTCTGTACCACAGCAAAATTTGTTTTCTATATATACTCTTTCTGTGATTGATCTGTACAAATTGTTCATTTGTTGCCAAAACAATCAATATTACCATGGTTTCAGCTTCTGTCTATCTTCTGTTGTGATTGGGTTTGACATTCAGGGTTTGCAGCGTGACGAAATTTGTCATCGCCGTGTATATATTAGCATTACATACCATAGCTCCATCCGTTCATTTTCAGCATCCTTTTGGAACAAAGGATTGCTGAAGGAATTTTGTTGGATTAAACCTAAAGGAATTTTTCCTATGTGACCCTTTGGACAAAGGATTTGCCACCTTGGAATCCTACAAAATTCCCATGGAATAGCTCAATTCATAAGAATTTTGGAAGAAATCTAACCTGAAGTCCAACCTCTTGAAAACTTTTCTCCGTGTCTATCTCTCTCTTCTCATTCATGTGTTTTTTCTATGCTCCATCAAGTGCTCCACTAGAGAATTTCCTGCGTTTTCAATTCCTGTAATATTGTGACATGCAACTCTAATCCTATGTTTTTTCTATTCCTGTGTTCTGAATATCCTGTGCTCCAAACGGGTCCATATAAACTAGGATTTTCAAAGGTATACTGATGAGGACATCACTCCGTCGAAGCTGACTTGTTTCGACGATTCCCGTTGACTCTGGTGGAATTTGGACCTCAGACCAAAAATATTGGTTAGCTTATGAAATTATATTTCCATCCATATGTGAATAGTCGAAAACGGAGTCCGGTTGCATCCTGGGCGTCCGTTTTATGGCTGACTGGTCCTGGAGGCTGAGGCTGACTCGAAGTCCCGTTGGACCGGGCCTCTGGCATGTGTTGGACGTCCTTGCTAATCATCTTCACCTCCACCTCTTCCTCCAAGTTTCTCATGACCCTCTCCAATGTTCCTAAGCAATACAACATCATTAGGTAGTAGTCTATTCTCAAAAGTATGAAAATGATCACTTAAGAATGAGCTCACCTCTAAATTTAGTTGTCGCATTCAAGCTCGGGTCATTGGACCTTGCATAATGGTTGGAGGATCAGCGGGTGCATCCGAAGGAGTGATGCCCTCATCATATACTATAGCCATCAATTTCTCTTATACATCCTTCAATTAGAAAATATAAGGACATTAGGATATCCATATGGTCCTAGTCTCCTTGATGTGACATTTTAACTATTAACATATTATTGTAAAATAAATGAGTTATACACTATGAAAAAAACATCACAGGTCTAATAATGAGCGAGCACAATTTTGGTCATTGTTCCCCAACCAGGCACATACAACAATCAAGCGGCCCTCGACTTCCAAGTCTCCAGACAATATGGCACCCAAAACCTACATCGAGCATATGCCAGAAGAGAGGAACATGAACTACATGACATAGTTGTCGAGCTAGTAGGTTGACTTAACAAATAGCTCGAACTCTACAAAAAGCTCACTTCCTAAATCAAGCCAAGCCAATGGAAATAATGAAACCAATGGACATCCGAGCTAAGCTAGAATTCCAACAAAGCATTGTTGCACATAGAAGATCATCCAAAGCAGTGTCCTCACTGAAGACATGATCAACACAAACCGCTTTTGCTACACGTTCAAAACTGGAGCAAGGTTTTTACTCAAAATTGGTATCAAGAAGTGGCAAATTGCCAATTATGATGCATCAAGGAAGAAACACACGACCAATGATGCTATCCTTGTCGATGCTAAGCAATAGTCTAGCAAGGCTTTCATTAACAATTTTATCTATTTAGTGCCCCACAAATAGCCAACCCACTTGACCGACAACTATTGCCAGAACACCATATTGCTGCAGCAACATCGTTCCACCATTAATCAAGTTCCTCGAAGCTTCCTGGCTTGATATGTAGAATAGAAGGAGGTTAACTTAGGTAAAGAGCGTTGATGGGACGGGGTATAAAGGCGAAGGGGATGTGCGAACGTCAACAAAATCTGACCAACGAGGGAACTATCACGGCAACGAGACCATTACTCCACCCATGGGCTAGAGCTGCATCAAGCACCATCAGTACATATCATAATGCCTCCCAAGTCAACACAAAAAAGCCACATTATCACATGCTTGGAGCCTTGCGTCTTCAACCACCCATATATTGTGGCTGGATACTTGAGATCCCGAGTTGACAGAGGCGTCATTGATGGATCCAATATCGATGACCATGGACCTAACCACCATATGTGATAATAACCATAGCTGTGGCCATTGGATCTC